CCACTAGGCACGTGCGCACGTGTCGGCCGACCCCAAACAATTTGGCCAATGACCTTCAAGGCTGACCCACACGAAGGCCACTTTGCGGACGCTGTGATGATTGCCTCGCTCGAGTGCAGACTTACGCTTCTCCGACAGCTAACTTCACCCTACATATTCTTATGTGCATTATAAACTATTCCTCGCTATGTTTAAACACGGCAATTGAGGGATGAGTTTGTTCATTCATGGTTGCCGCGTGAGGCTACAGAAATACCGCCAGATAATTGACAAGGAGAAGACCAAATGCTGCGAGTTCATGGGCAAAGATAGCACAAAACTGCTTCGACAGAGAGTGCTTGAACGAGCCCGCGAGAAACAAACAATTCATGAAGCGGCACTTGAGAACAAATGCCGCAAACTGCAGAATGCAACGTCATCTAGAAACGACATACTGGTGCACAACCTGGAATCGAAAGAACTGAGGAAGGGGCAAATACAGGTTCTACAGCACGAAGCCTCATTCAACACGACTGATGCTAAACCTGCCAACACGATTGCAGCTCTGGAATCGGTTATCAATCAGACAGAAGCAACGTAGGAGACGAATAACCTCATCCGACACCAAATATCGTCCCTCCTGATGGCTCATCAACCACGGGAAGTGCTCCCCAAAGTCGAAAGCGTTTCATTCAGAGCACTTAAGGCCGATCGGGTCATAATCATCGTGCCAGCCGACAAGGGACGTTCTACGGTCATATTGGACAGAACCGACTACCTTCAGAAGGCCAAAAGCTCACTAGAGGGTCGCCAGTTTCATGTTCCTTGTGAACCCAATCCCATCAAAAGGCTGACAAGCTAAATCAATTCGACCCTGTTGGCACTAGGGAACTCTGGTGCAATAACACCGTCTGACCGACGCATGGCGACAGCATAAGAAACGGCCTTGGCCCGATTCTATGGCCTCCCCAAAGTGCACAAGGAGGGCGCTCCTCTCCGACCCATCAGATCACTGAAAGGCACTCCAACGTACGGACGGACCAAGTGGCTGTTTCGGCATCTCAAATGCCTGATCGCTGATTCGGAGGTCACGGCCCTCTCATCAACACAGTTCTTGGAGCAACTTAAAGGAGTAAGTCTCCTGTCAAGTGATATCAGGGTTTCCTTCGATGTCACGCCCTTTTTACTTCTATCCCTCAGGATCTGGCATTCGAGACCGTCGACCTACTCCTACGAAGCAAATACGATGAGACGGAGAATCGTTTTGAACATACCCAAATCCTACAGCTCCTGATATTTTGTCTCAGGACGTACTTCACGTTTTACGGAACAATCTACGAGCAGATGAAGGGGACACTAATGGCTTCAGCGATTTCGGGACTT